TCCAGATTGCAGATGTGAGATTTCTTGGTCTCCAAAATTGTGTGAGCCAAATTCTATAATAAATCTCTTTTATATCAACCTGGATATCATATATATGTGTGTTATATAATATACATGTATATGTGTATACATATATATATTCCTGTATCTCTCAATATATATATCTTATTGATTTTGTTTCTCTAGAGAATCCTAATTCAAATATATTTACCATTTTCATTTTTGTATTGAGAAATTACTATTTACAGATTGAAAGAAACAGAAGTTTCGCAAAGAACTAATGAAATATTCTGACTGAAACCCACAAATGTTGAGACTTGTTCTGACCTCTTATGCTTGGGAGAACCTTTAACACAGGTTTTAAATATTACTTCTGCCTGCTTTAACCATGTCAGTCTTTACTAATTATGCTCTGCTTCAGAGTTTGCAGTTACTACTGTAAAGCTCCATCTCTTTGAAATACTTTGTCTCAGCTTCATCTCTTAGAAAAGAAGGCAATTTCCTTTAAAAAGCATGGCTGTCCCGAATACCTCAGGTGTTGTTTTTCTCCTAGCTGGCACCAAAAGAGTCACAAAATGAGGTAGCTCATTTAAAATATTTTCCTCATGGTTGTTCTGTTCTCCCATTCAGGAAAAAGATTATTGGTTACCATGGCAATCAGCTTCCACAGCATTCCATTCTGAGTAACTGCACAGGTATAGCACAAGCTATACTCCACATTCTTTACTGTGGTTCTCTGCAGATCTGTATATTTTTCCATCCTGTTCTCTATAACTGCTGCTTAAAACAATCAACCAACTAACCAAACAACCTATGGTTAAGCCAGATAATTTCTCAAAGACATTCTATTCTCTTGAATATTAAAAAATTTACATATGGAGTTGCACAACAATTTCCTCTAATTTTGTTCTATTTAGGCCCTACCTAACAGTGCCTACCTGAAAACTTTTTGGCATTTTGTTTCACAAGCCTAGTATTATATTTGTATCTCTTTGACCATATTTAAAAAACGAGCAATGAACTTACAGTTAACATAAGAGTAGAAGAGAGTTCTAAGTTCATTTCCCAAGCTTACAGCATAGTTTTCTATGGATAATTATCTAATTTCCCTTTCTTAACTACCATCAAACCACTCTGAAAAGTGCAGATACTCTTGGAAGAGTAAAAATTATCTTCAATCACTGACTTGAAGACACCAAATACTTGTATTCCCATCCTTGAGACTGTTTCTTTTTAATTGGCACAGAGTCTCTTGAAGAGACTGTTTTAACTACCCTGTTTCTATAGAGAACATTATTGGTAATAATAACAAATGGTTTTACACAGGACAAACACAATTTAATTGTGCCTTGGGTCTGCTAAACGTAGAATGATTTTAAGAGAGTCCACTGGATAAATTGTTCCCCTTATAACACTTTCAGTCTTTGTTATCATTACTTTTAATCTTTGCTGGTTATATAGTTTCTTCATAATTACGTATCATAGACTAGGAATCTTGAGACTTTTATTGTATGGACAGAGATCTTTTTACTTACTATTTCTATGATTTTATTTGAAGCTATAGTGCTATTAGGTAATTAAAAAGAGGGAACTTGAATGAATGAGTTTCTATTATCTAATATTAGGCAATTAAAAAATTAAATTTGGCTTTAACTCTCTTTCTTGCAATTTTTTTTATTTCATGAATGCCTTTTCATTGAAAAAGAATATCTCATAACCAAATCTATGAACACCCCATTGAAGATTGCCATCTCCTATTAAGGGCATGGAAGTAAACTTGGTAACTAAAACAGATGCCTTCGCCCACAGATTCTAAAATCAGAGGGTATTCATAAACCGCCCCACAAATTTTCAGAGTCTAGTGGGAAACAGGAACTGTTAAAAATCTGAAATGCTACCAAAGTATTTTCTTCCTCTTCCGGTAAAAGAAAATACATTACTTTCTAGGAAGCTATTTAAAAAACAAAACAAAACAAACAACTAAAAAAACTCAAAGAAATCAGCGTTGGAAATTCACGACTAGAATTTGGGTTACATTAGCTGATTCTGGAAGAAAAGGTACTTAGTTATAGATAGAAAACCATAGAAAGTTTCTCTGAATCCCCTCAAAACTGTATCAGAATTGTTTCAAGGAGGAATAAAAGGTATATTTATATTCTGAGAAGATATCCTTATATTATATAAAATGTTTCTATGTTAGGGTATACGGACATCTATGTACTTCCTGACATAATATTCCCACACAAACTAATAACAAAAATTGACCAATTACAGGTAGAATTTTCTAGATTAAGAGGCTGAAGTAATCACACAAATTTTGGGTAATATTTTAGTATACCTTAAGATTTATGTAGGAAAAGGTTGCTCTCAACTTTGTTGACAAAAGACAGCTGAGAAGTATTAACATAGCTGTGAAAGGTAGAAACTAATGAAGGGTCAGTATTCTAAAGGCTTGAAGGCAGCTGACAAACTGTTTTGACAGTTGGGTAAAAATCAGGGAAAAAATTGTGAGAGGTAGTTGTGATGAAAGGGTATAATGAAGTGTTTGAAAATTGTAAAGTGAGAGCTTTAATTAATATGGAGGGAAGGAGCTGGAAAGAAAATTATTCAGTTCAGATAAGAAATAGTTCATAATTTTTTTTTTTTTTTTTGGTACCAGTAATTGAACGCAGAGGCACTCCACCACTGAGCCATATCCCCAGCCCTATTTTGTATTTTATTTAGAGACAGGGTCTCACTGAATTGCTTAGTGGCTCATTTTTTGCTAAGGCTGGCTTTGAACTTGCGATCCTCCTGTCCCAGCCTCCCAAACTGCTGGGATTACAGTAGTTTATAATTTTTGTAAAGTAATAACACAATTTGCATTTTAATTTGCAGTGGTTCAGGAATGACACTATTTGAAGAATGGCAGTTTTGTTATCTTATACATAAGAAACTCCATTTGTCTGAAATATACTAGTATAAGTTTCCATTAGTATGATAACAACATATATTAGACAAACTGACAAGCAGGGATTGCTTTTCATTAACCTTTCATTATAACCCTTAAAAAAAAAAAACTCACTACCTTTACTATTTTAAACTTTAAGGAAGATCATGATTTTATGTAAAGATAACCAGGAAGTTTGAATCAGTAGCAGATTGGCCCTAACTTTTTGTTGGTGTCTTTTAATCTTGGGCTTCTAACTTGAGCAAGAAAATGTAAATGCAGAAAGCTGAAAACCAAGGTTCCTTAATTAGGAATCATGTGAGTTACTTAACATTAAAAAAACACATTTTTAAAGAAATCACACAGTATATATATTCTATTGTTTTGGCTTTTGTATTGCATTGATATTAATTTTTAACTCTCCTAACTATCATAGTTCGGTAATCTTACGTCCTGAATATTCCAGGTCACTTCAGATTTTGAATATTTTATTTAATGTCAAATGGTGTGTCCAGATTTGGGTTTACAAAACATGGCCAATGAATTTACAGACTAACCCTGAAACAGTAATGGAATTTGGTAGTATGTAGTAATTCTATTTCTGAGTCATGATTATCAAGTTTAATCAAATAAAATCAGTGGTCATTATTTGAATCTAACAATAAGCTGCCTTAAAACAATGAAGCTGTTTAAAAATTTACGGCAATTTACAATGTAAAAGGCACTCATAATGTGATTTTTATACACACACCTGTAGCCGTAAATCTAAATGGCTATTCATTCTTACCATATAGGAAATGAAAAACAACATACTTGAGATATTATATTAATGTATTTTACTAAGAAACTAAGAAAGACAAAAACAATGTAAGTGTGTGTGTTAATAAAAAGGATTTGGTATTGAATGCTTATTCTTAATAAAGAGCAACTAAGAGGGTTCACTGGCATTTGCAGTGAATATGAGGGTAATTATCTGAGTGAACTAAGTTTTATTTGAATAAATTTGATTAATTATTCCATGCCAAACCACTGCTTTCTGCAAATGAAAACATTTAAATAACGTGATGTCCTTCCTCTCCTCTAATTATTATCCTTTATAACATTATAATGTTTGTTCATGGTTCCACTCTGTCCATAATTTAGGTAACCACTAAGGGGAGGGGGTGCGATTAAAAGTTGACTATGTCCAGAATGATACTCAAAACCTCTGGAAAATTTAGGTGATTTTTCCCCAACACTCGTTGGCAGAGTATCAATTACTAGCGATCAGGCTCTTCCTCCCACATTCCCCTGCTGGTTGGGACAAGAGAAGCCCGGGAATGCTGCAGCAACAGAGGTGGGAGTGGGAGATAGCATATTACCCGCTTGACACTTCTGCACTGTTGTTATGAATGATTCACTCGCGTTTGGCACATTTATTGCAAGGAAATCTCCTCCCGCCGCTTCCTTCTTCGAGCTCTTCTTGGGCTGTCTCCTGTGCTTTGGCCTTTAAGGAGAAGCGAGAGCAGGTGGGCACAGAGGAGCTCGCCGAATCCTCCTCCTCCTGCTCCTTCCCTAATTTAGCAGTACTTCCGGCCGCGTGACATCATCCCCCGCACCCCGGTGACGTGAGCGGCGGGTGACGTGTGTGCGGAGAAGAGCGCGCTGACGTTGCTATTTAAAGGTCCTCCTGCAGGGAGGATGGAGACACAGCGCGAGCACCTGGTGTGGGGCGCGGAGGAGGCTGTGGCGGCAGGGAGCCGGGCCAGGAAACAGCGGAGGAGCAGAGCCCAAGGCCCGCCCGCCGCGGGCCACTAGGGGAGGGGGGAAGGAAGGAAGGACGAACTGACGGACCTGACAGCTGGCCAAGCTCCCCACGAGGGCCAGCTCGGTCCCTGACCACCAGCCTTCCCCGCCGCCTCGTGATTCTGCTGTCTCCCGCTTCCCTGAGGGCCCGGCGGCCCTCGGGACTGGTCCGCGCTCACCCCTCCGCCGCGGCGGCCTCTCCCGCCCCTCCCGCGAGCTGGAGGAGGGACCGAGCTCGCCCCTCGTTCTCCCCGCCCCCTCTCCGTCCTCCGCCCCCCGCAGCCCGCTGTGCTGCCGCGCTCGCCTCACGCCGGCGGCGCTGATCGGGGAAGCGGCACCCTCCGTTCTGCACGCGGGCCGGTGGAGGCGGAGGCAGCGGTGGCTTCAGGCCGCCGAGGCTGCCACCGCTCTGCCCAGCGGGAGCCGGAGCCCGGTGGAGGCGGGCGGTGATGGAAGTGTGAAGAGGCAGCGGCGGGGCCCGGGGAATGTGAGGCGGCGCGTGGCGGCGGCGCGGAGCGTGAGAGACGAGCAGAGGTGGGGGCGCTGGAGTGGCGGCTCTCCCACAGCTTCGAGCCCCGTTCCTCAGCCCTCAACGCGGCGTTAGCTTCCCGCCTCAGGTGGGGCGGGTGCCCGTCGACTCTTCAGCCCTTCCACCGCCGCCTCTCGGCCGCCCCGGAGCTGGGTGCCGGGGGAAGGCGTGGAGCTTGGCTCTCTGATTCATTCATTCCCCACCGACGGGAGCTCCAGACCCGCTGTGCCCAGAAGAAAAGAGCGAAGAGGGGGCAGCCTCGAATGAAGAGCTGGGCGCGAGCCGGGCTCCATTGTGCTCGGCGGCGGGGGGCGGGAAGGGGCTGAGGGAGGTGGGATCGGGCCCCCTCCCCCTGCTCCCCGGCGTGCGCTGCGCCCCCAGCCTGCTGCCTGCCTGGAAATGGCTCCGTTTATTCTCCTCGGGAGAATGAATCGATCCTGCCCAGCCTTTTCTTCCTCCTCACCACCTTCTTTCTGCTCCGAATCTTAGGAGGGGAAAATTTAAAAGACAGATTCCGATGTGGAGTGCCGTGCACGTCGCGAGCTGCTGGGTTTGCACTTCCAGGAGATTTTTCTATATAGTTTTTTCTAATGTGAGCGCAGGGAAGCAGTGGCATTACTGCTTTTAGGATTTTTTATTAAAGTGCACGTCGCGTTGGGTTGCACAGTACACCCCCAGGGACCTGGTGTGGTGGAGAAATTTGAACCCACAGCCTTAGCACCGAAAAGGCCGAGTTACCAGGCTCTCCCTGAGTGTCGTGGAGGACATGAGCGAAATGACCAGCGAACTCATTTTTTATAGGACTCGGTGAAGCTGGTTTCTGCGTTTTCCTACATGTACACTCATTTTTGTGGAATAGAGTTGACCGCGATCTCCTCCACGCAGTATTTTAACTCTTAATAAGCAAATGCCACCTCTGTTTGAACGTTTTGGTATTGACGAGAGAAATCATTTTACCTAAGAGAACTAATTGAATTATCGACATCATTGAAATACCTCCGGAAAAGAATCTCGGGGGGGAGGTGGAAAGCAACTGCGAAATAGCAGACGGAGAAATTCCTTTGGAAGTTATTCCGTAGCATAAGAGCAGAAACTTCAGAACAAGTTTTCATTGGGCAAAATGGGGTAAGGATTTTTGTGCTTATCACAGTTTGGAATCTATTTATGTATGTGTGTTATTGAGTGGTGGTGGTGACTGTTTTGTTTGTTGTTTTCAAGCAAATCTGCTCTTTTGCTAAGCTGGTCCTACTTTAAAATAGAGGTGTGGTAACCTTTTAATAAGTTATTTTTGTATTTTTATAGTGTGGCACCAGAGGTCAGAATTAAGGAACATGCACATTTGTAACTTAAATATTCCTAATAAGATTATAATTACAAACAATATATTCTGTCAAATAACCGCTTCATTGATCAAACTGCTGCATCAGTTCCTTACCAAAATCATGTCATCTTAGGTTTTGTTGACGATTATCTTTCAAGGAGATGTACTGCCATTCTTTTCAGTACTTTGGCAATAATCGGTTACACAAAGGAATGATTGTAACGAGTGGTTGGACTACAGTCCTTGAAAGTGATCCAGTGTAAATTGTTGCCCTCACAGTGCCCTCTGTTTTGTCCTTGAATCTCCAAAGCTAAAATGTATAGTTGATTTATTGGGCATTGAAACGAAAATCTGAAAGTCTCATTGATGCGGTCTCCACAGTGGGAGTCCACTGGGTAGATCTGAGCTGGAACAGGAAAAGCTTTTAATGAAAGGCACTTTTTCGCTTTTAAGTTGAGACCTTCAGCTGCACTGTCTTTCGTACCTAAAGCCAGAGAAGAGTACACTTCTCAAACTTTTAGCTCCTCACACTGTAGCTTGATAAAATGCTAGTGACTACCCAATTTAGGCTGGAGCCCATAGTATATTATTGCAGTAATGACCCACTCATGTCTTTGAGATTGTCAGTGCTTTCTGTTAAAGAAGAAGTTCCAGAATTTTCATTTTCGTGGTTGAACAAACATATCTAAAGTGTAGCTGAGAGACAAGGTTTGAAATGGACTCAGATTCGTTTTGATGATGTAGAGGTGTGCACACACACTAATTTGGAGTAATTCAGTAGTACCTTTTTATGGGAGTTAGAATCTGAAGTTTATTAAACCCAAACAACTTTAAAAAATTTAGAACATATTGTAAGAGTTCTTCCTCAGGAATTAATGAGAAGGTGATAATTATTTTTAAGACTTAAATTATAAATTATGAGAATATATCTTGCATAACTTAGGGGTACTACTAAGAGTAATTTAAATACCTTATTCTATTTTTAGTGCTGCTCTTAGTCCTTTATTGACCTAAGGCGAATTACCTCACCAGTATGGACTGTTCTCTTATCTGTAAAGCGAAGGAGATAGGTGACTTTTAAAGATTTTTCCACCCTGTAAAAATGAATTATTTTATTCCTCCTCCCATTTTAATGATCACTAGTGGTTTCTTGAAGTGTACCACTGAGATGGAGAAATTTTCTCCCCTCTAATCTGCCTAAGCACTTAAATTGGGAAATAATGGCATTTGAAAAGTGTTTGGCTGAATTGCACCCATTTTAAATGAGAGAAAATACTGAAAAATGCTAATATTCAAAGCCTTTGAAATATGGCTTCCCTTGAGCTTCTGCAGATCCTCTGTTTAAAACGTGGTGGAGTGTGAGCATGCTTGTGCACACACACATAAAATCAAGCAGCAGTTTTTCATGTGGAAGGCTGCACTCTCCAGACTGTAGAGTGGTCGTATCATGGAAGAAAAGCAGTTTTCCACAACCTTTAAAGGACAAGACTGCCCATTGTTTTACTAAAGAAAGCAAGGAATGAACTATACTAAGGGGACTAGGTTTTAAAATATGACAGTAAACCTGTATTCGACACTAGCATAATTAAATTTGTTTATAAACAAGCTTGCCCTGTTTAAAGTAAAATTTTAAAGGTGCTGTTAAAAAGGAGTGGGCATTTGTGGCATTATTTTTCCAAACTATATTTGGAAATATGACCCTTTCTCATTTAAGAGTGACTTGTTTTATTTGAGTTGTTGAAAGAGGTGGAAATAGAAGAGGACAGCATACAGCAAAGGCATTTGCAGAAGTTTCTACACTTTTTAGGTTCATATACCTAACAAATGTTTGTGGAATAAAAAAGACACCTGGACCTACTTAAAGGCCATTTAAACCTGTTTCCTTTTAAGTTTTACCTGGGCAATCTAAATTACCATACTCAGACAGTTTAATATTGTGAATGAAGAATTTGACATATTACAAATATATTTGTGATTAATGTTAGGTTAAAATATGATTTCTTTGCCTATACAGTTACAAGTAGGAGCAAAATCTAAGCAAAGGAATTATTTTTAATGAGTGATTAATTTAGGCAGAAAAACATTAAGACTCCTGTAATCGTTTGTGAACTAAGTGGAAAAGGCAAAGAACAGCTGAAACGGCAGTTGGCAGAGTCTGTCAAAGTATCTTGGATGTTAGTAAACTTTTTAATTGCAGTGAAGACAGTTGAAGTAAAATATGTGCATCAGACTTTCCCCAATAAAGATGTTTATGTATGAAAGATAAGGTCCATGAAAAGCTTAAAAGTCTCTGAGAGAGAGCCCTTATTAGGTTTGACACCCCCTCTCCACCGCCCCAAGTCATATCTCATAGTGAGAGTGGTGAGTCAGTAGCTATTTCAGAACTATTAGAGTAGACAATAGAAATCAAATAACTTCAACCAGTTATTTCATGCTACCTTTTGTTTTTACTTAGCTCATATTGGCAACCTAGTATTATTCCCCCTGTTAGCCTTGTTAGTCCCCCATCATAAGAGCTAGTTGTATTAAATAGGGTTCTCCCTTACTAATGGAGTTTAATTTTTTTTTTTAAAAGTTTCACCTGCCTATCCCAACCTTGAGTCTCTCCTTTCCCCCATCTCCACATAACTTTCTGCAGTATGGAAGTGGTGCTGCTACTTTGCGACATGAACTGAGTCTTGTCTTTGTAAAAAGACAGGAAACTGACACCATTTGCATAACTTGCCTGCCTGATCAGAGGTTCTGATCTTGGGGGTTGTAGCAAAAATGCCGAAATCTTGATCCACCTTTGCAGGATGAGTAAGCTTTGTTGCAAAGGCAACCATCCTGTCAATCTTAAAAACAAAACAGTTTAAATACCAGTCCTTAATTCTTTATTTGTTCATTTTACCATCTTTCAGCAAGTATTATATGAGGCAAGTGCTGAGCTCAGTCGCTCAACTGAGACTAGTAAAATGTGCTCCTTCCCTCAAGGAGTTTATACTTTCAAAACTGGGAAGAAAGCAAGTTTAAAATAAAGTACAGTGGAATGTTGAGGAAGCTATAATCTTAGGCATTATAGAGGCACAAAATGTGTATGAGGGTTATTAAACGCTGCAGAAGGATAAAAGGTTTTGTGGAATAGGTGATATTACATAATGAAAGGTGAATAACAGGTGGGCCGTGTAGACAAATGAAAGGGCATTCAAGGCAGAACAGTGAAGTCACCAAGAAGAGCAATTGCAAAAAACTTGGCATGGGCCTTCCTTCATTTGCTTGGCTTACCTTGGTAAGAGAGATTTAGAGCCTTATTCAGGGACCAAGTTAGCCTTGTAGACTGAATGAAAGACTGGGTTGTGCTGGCTGGTATATTTCAAGCTTCCTTAAGGAATAAACCATTGGTAACATGCATTTTTTTTTTTAAACATTGTGACCTAGTATGTTCACACATAATTAATAAAGTGGCAGAAAATAATACCCCTACTTTGTGTGATTGGCTCTGGTAGTTTCTATTCTATTCCATTCAATTTCATTTTTAAGAAGAAATGGCAGGATCCATGAAATTGATTTAACAACTGGCAGATTGAAAAACATTGCTCTTAGTGGTGGAACCAATATCGGGTTTTAAGCAAAGTGGTATAAGTAAGGGAAGTAGTATAAGTAAAGTTTTAAAAATCATTTAAAATTTGATATTGTATGTTGTCCTGTAAAACACCAAGCTAGAACAATGAACTCTGACTAGGTAGAGAAAATGATTGGAAAGCTCTGGAAAGTTCCAAAGTGGAGAGGAAAGAAATGGTGATTAAGAGATGTGTACCTGGCTGAGTGGGTCTACTTTAGAATTAGGGCTTTTCAGCTACAATGGTAAAAATGTTGGAAACAGCATGGTATCTTCCTTTCAGAGGTACTTTCAGGTGGTCATGAAATAGTGAATTTGAGAATTAAGGGGTTGATGAAAGAAATTGTCTTTATACATAGTTTATGGTTTGAAGTGATTGAATGGCTCAAATAAAAAAGATGGTAACATCTCAAAATGTTCATTCTCCCTACAGGCCCGTGATTTTTTTTTTCCTCCCCCAGTTCATTGGTATTTAGTCGAAGGGCTTAAAAGTATTTACTTTTAGTTACTAAATTGATTTGTTATTTAAGATTAATCTAACTAACAGGTCAGAAGAGTAGGGAAATGAGTCCAAATATTTAATATTTTCTGATACAATTTTTTACAATACAAATTTTATTCAAATGTAATTTTTAAATGACCATTTTAAATAGCTTTAGTATATCTTTACTAGTTAGGAACTGTCTAGTTGAATGAAATATGCAATATTTTGTTTCTGTTGCTTTTTTGTAATACTTGTGAGACCTGTGGCTAATACAGTAGAAATTCTTGCAGTTTCTGAGATTCTTTGTGAAATGAGCAAGGTTTTCCTAGAGATCACAAAGACTTATAATTTTGAGGCATTATAAGTTGTAAAGTTCATTAAATATCTTCATCAAAAGAATGAATGTACAATAAAGAATATTTAAATAGATTTTTTTTTCATATTCAGAGTTGAACTTGGGAGTTTTTATCACTGAGCTGCATCCTCAGCCCTTTTTATTTATTTATTTTTTTAATTTTGAGAGAGGGTCTCATTAAGTTGCTGAGGCTGGCTTGAGATTGCAACCCTCCTGCCTCAGCCTCCTGAGTCTCTGGGATTAATGGTGTTCACCATCACACCTGGCCATTTATATAGATATCTCACCACGAATTGAGCTACAATTTTCACATCTTACTGAATGGTATTGCAGGAGTAGGTAAAACTTCAAAAGCTTTTCAAAAATG